CACAGCCCCGAGCCCCTGGGAGCGAGGTGGCAGAGGCCAGTGGTCCCGCAGCTGCAGGCTGGACTGTCCCCACCCGAGGCCGGCGCAGACACGGTCCACTCCCCTGGGTCCCCAGGCCTGCATGGAGGTAGGCGCTTTAACACACGGAGGAAGAACCAAACCGACGGGCACTCCCCAGGGTGGAGTCTGGGCCTCGCTGTGCAGGCTGCGTGATGTCCCCTCACCCTGCCTCACTTCCGCGGTTGAGAAGCGAAGGGGACAGCGCCCACCTGACGGGCTTCCTGGGAGAGGCAAGCAAGAGAATAGAAGCCGAAGGCGCAGGGGGCTCTGCGGGATGCTGCCCAGGGGGCAGCAAGACGGCCTCGGGCTCCCCGCGGAGGGCATCACAGCTGTCACAGGTGGGCACAGCCAGACATGCTCACCAGGAGCCCAAGAGCCAGGGACACTTGTCTACCTCCGCCCAGAAGACAAAGCCACCATCGTGGGAATGAGGACAGCGGCTCACCTAGGAGCCCAGCGGCGTTTTGTGCCTGACTCACTGGGCCTGGGCTGACCTGCAGGCCAGTGTGCTCGCTCCCACTTCTCAGATGGGCAAGCTGAGGCTCAGGTAGGGCAAGTCCTTGCCCAAGGATGCATAACTGACTGCTAAGGGTGGACCCGAACAGGAACCTGAATCTGGTGGCCTCAGAGCCCCTTCTCCAGGCAGGCTCCCCTGACTTCCCCTCGCAGGGGTGTGTGGGGGGAGAAGCAGGCAGGACAGTAGGGGTGTTAGAGACCTTGCATGGCCCCCTTTGGGGCTAGGCCCCTTCTGCAGAGCCTGCCCCTCCCTGGCTGCTCTCAGGCACTCAGCTCCTTTGAGTGGCTCTGACCACCTGCTCTGAGCGCGGCCACCTGAAACACTCCTGGCTCCTGCAGCAGGCGGGATCCGAGGGAGACCCCCACCCTGCCAAGCCAGGCCTTCCTCAGTGGGAAGAGGGAGTGGCCTGCAGGGCTGGGGTGGGGGCCGTTGGGCACAGAGAGATCTAACCTTCTCCTGAGACCCCAAAGGAAGACTGGGACGGGGTGGGGGGGCACCAGAGGGGAGGGAGCGCGAGCAAGGGAAGAGAACCGGCTCTCCGCCACCCCCTCACAGAGACCCAGCACCAGGGCCGGGCGGGACAGCAGCAGCGTGAGAAATGTGGGTCACACTCCAAGGCCTCCCCGGCACGAAGCAAAGCTCCTGGGGCATGGTCCCCACACCTGGTGGGGGCGAGGGCAGCTCTGGGAGGCAGAGGGCCTAGGGTCCCAGCACAGCCCCACCATTGTCGCGCTGGGGTGGCCTGGAGGAGGATGGGCCCCTTTCTGTGCCTCGGTGTCCCCAGCAGTAGACAGGGGTGGGACTGGGGGCCCTCACAGACGCCAGCCACGTTCTAGGAAGTCATCCTGCTCCGCCAGGGCTCCAAGGTGGGCGCACAGAGCCACACGCAGACCTTCCGCTCTGGGTAAGCCGCAGGGAAGGACTCGAGCCCGCCCTGTCCCGTTCTGTCCTCTGGGTCCAGGCTGCTCGTGTTCCTGTGACATCCATGAGAAGCCTGAGGCTCTTTCTGGCAGGTGCGTGCTGCGCGGGTGTGGGGGCCACCGTCAGCACGTGTGGCACACGTGACGAGGTAGCAGCCAGTGTGCACGGGACAACCCGACAGGCATGCAGCAAAGTGTGACAGCACGGAGACACTAGGTAGTTCCACATACCCTCTTGCTGCCTGATGCTGCGTGCTGACGACAGAGAGTGGGGTGATGGGAGGGTGCTCTGAGCAGCCGGGGTCGGGGTGCGGGCTGAGACCCTAACCTGTGAACTAACCGGGTGACACTCCTGAGTCTCGGTTTCCTCATCTGTCACCCGGGGGGAGCAGGGCCGCCTCCCAAGGTTACCGAGGGACACAGTGACAGTGGCTTAGAGAGGGTGTTAGTGCAGTGCCCTGCACACATCTGGTCAGAAATCCCAGCTCAAACTCCAAGAGCCCAGGCAGGCGGCCACAGGGAGCCCGGAGTCAGGAGTGCTAAGTGACTTGGGCTCAGAGCCTTAGTTTTCCCATCAGCAAACTGGGGCCGTTGAAACGTGAGGACCGCCCGGGGCCGGGAGCCCTGAGCACTCTGGGTCGCCTTCGCTGGTGGCTGGTCGGGGCCAGAGGCTGGGGCTCCGGGTTAGGAGTGTGAGGGCCCAGGAGTGGCAGCCGCCTCCCTCCCTCCCCATTCCCACAGCTTCTGACCCCAGGGACAGGCTGAGGGAGGATGTTTACAAAATCATAAACCTGCACTTAGAGCGGGGCGGCTGCCTGGGGGCTGGGAGCAGCAGGCCACAGAGGCTGGGGGGCTGCGGCCCGAGCTCTGCACTAGCCCCTTCCAGGCCAGCCCCCTGCAGCGAGGGGGCCTCGAAGGCAGGCGGGGCTGTGCCGGGGTATCCACACCAGCAGGGCCTGCGTGGGGTGGAGGGCTCCTGTGAGGGCCAGGGCACAGGGTGCACGGTGGGGCTCGGAGGTAGGACTGGAACCCAAAGACAGAGCAGGGCTCCAAGGGGCCCAGCGCCAGCCGGAGCTGCTGGCTGGCGGGAGAGGCGATCCTGCCCCAGGCGCCCGAAAAGGTGCGGGTGCTGCCTCCGGGCCCCGGCCCCCCTTCCCCAGGAGCTCACTGAACTCACTTGGGCTGCCTCTGAGGGAGCCTGGGAGTGACCCCAAGTGCAGCGGGAGAGCGAGATGTCTCACAGCAGGAGCAGGTCCCAGCAAGAACACGCAAGACCCTGCGGGGAGTACCGGAGGGGGCCCCTCGGCCTGGGCTCCCCCAGCCCCAGAACAGCCACCATGCTCCAGGCCCCGACAGGCCCTGGCTCTCCAGGCACTTGCCCGCCCCAGGCCTCGTGCCAGAGGCAGGCTCACAGGTTGGGCTTTCTACCCACGTGGATGACCTAGAGATGGGGCGCTCAGAGAGGCCCAGAGATGACCCAAGGGGCTCAGGGAGCGCACAGGGGCGGGGCCCTCGACCCTGCAGCCGCCCTGGGCTTGGCAGACAGATGCCCAGCGCCTTGAGATCCCTAAACACGCGGACGTTGTCACACCACCTGTTCCCCCCTCCCGGAGCTCCTGAGAAGCGCCTCCACTCTGGATGCCCGGGGACAAGTGGTCAGGACGAGCATGCCCCTGGCCAGGGCATTCCTGGCATCCAGAAAGGGCAGGATGTGGGGCAAAGGTTCCACGGATTTAGCTCCTGGGAAGGAAGGGAGGCCCTTCCACAGGAGGTGGCAACGGTGGCCGGCCAGGGGAGAGGCAGCGGGTCCTTCACCTCCAGTGACCCTTGTGGGGACTGAGAAGCCAGGTCTGGGGGACGAAGGACCCCAACCCGGGAGCCGGGCTGGCCAGCGCAGCTGCTGCCTACAGAATGCCTCACCCTCCGTGAGCACCCAGGGGCCACGCAGCCTCTCTGGGAGCAGCCCCTGTCCCACACCCCCAAGTCCAGCAGCACAGAACCATCATCACTCCAAAAAGCCTCTCTGTGGTGACAAAAGATTCATCCCAGGCCTCCCAATGGACACTGGCGGTTGGGCTACTCCTAACCCTTGACCCTGCCCCCAAGCCTGACCTCACATCCTGAGCGATCTCAAGTCGGCTTCTCTACAGCGAGTCAAGGCTGCTGCCCCTGGCACTTCACGGCTGGCGACAGTTCTCTTCCTCTACCTCTCCCTACACCAGCGTGCACCTTCCCCTCACCTCGGGACTGCTGGACGCCCAGATCAGATGGGGCAGGGACAGGGGCAGGGGCAGGTAGCAGAGGGCCGGGCAGGGAGACAGGCTGAAAGAGAGGACAAGCAGGGGAAGGGGCACAGGTGGGGATACACAGACCGACAGACACAGTTAATAGGACCGGCCCGAGGAGGGATGGACACGGATGAGCAGAGGCACGCTGGCCAGGCAGTGGCGAGGCGCGCGCACACCTCTCCACCCACACGCATTGTGGAGACTCAGTCTGGGAGAGGCACAGTCAGCCAGGTGGACAGGCAAGTTGGCCACCCAGGAAACCCCGGGGAGCGACTCCCAGGGGCACATTTCCTGGGGACCGGAGGTCTCTCTCAAGCACCTGCGAGCGTCCCAGCGCCAGGCCCAGCCCTTCAACTGATATCCGCTGGGCCTCTCATGTTCCCAGCTGGGCCAGGCCGTCCCCCAAGACGGAGCTCAGAGCTGCCAAAATTCACTCTTTACATCCAAGAAGGGTCAGTGTGTTTGAAAGCTTTAGGAGCCTGGCGAGGGGGAGGCGGGGGCCTACAGCATCAGTGTTTCCAAACCTCCCCCTCTCCTCTTTCTTTTTCCCCTGCTGCCCAGAGCCAGGCCGGTGCAGCAGGCCAGCAGGCAGGCGAGCTGGGCCTGGCGGCCGGGGCAGGACAGGGAGAGCTGGGCTGGCTGCTGCTGCTGCTGCCACCGCCACCGCGGCTGCCCCCAGTGCTGAAAAAGTTGAGGGTGGTGTGAAAGGCCAGGAGAGGACTGATGAAGTGGGACACAGAGCATGGGGCTGGGGACCCCCCCCCAGACACGTCGCGGGAGGGCCAGCCCTGGGCTGGGGGCAGGGGCATCCGTGCAGAGGAGCAAGGTGCAAGGGGAGCCCCTCGGAACTGCAGAGTGGGAGGAAGTGACAAAGTGTGGGGCCACGGGACAGAGCTGAGGAAGGGGAGAGGCCAGCCCAGTTCAGAGGCTGGGATTGAGCTCAAAGTGGGGAGTACCTGGGACAGAGGAGCGGCTCAGCGGCCCGGGAGATGGAAGCCATCCGAAGTGAGGGCAAGCAGGGGTCAGGGCGAGAGGTCAGGGTTAGGGTCAAGTTGGGAGCTTCGGAAATGGGACTCCGGCCCGGGCGCGCGGAGACACGGACGAGGGTCGGCCCGGCGGCTAGGGGGTCGGGAGGCGGAGCCAGGGCGGGGCGGCCGGCCCGGGAGCCCAGGCTGGCTCCGGGGGCAGGCGAGGGGGCGCGGGTCGCAAACTCACATGAAGACGTGGTAGACGAAGGCCCAGCCGCGGGGTCGCTCCAGCACGTTGTAGACCCAGTTCTGTAGGCGGCGGTAGCGCTTGTGCGCGGCGGAGGAGCGCTGGCCGCAGGCGGAGCCCGAGCCGGAGCCCGGCCCAGGGAGGGGCGCGCCCGGCGGCAGGGGGCTGCCCAGGAGGCCGAGGCGGCGCGGGGAGCCGCCCCCGCCCGCCTCGCCCTGCTCGCTCTGCACCGCCGTGAGCGCCACCAGCTCTGCGCGGGGGGCGTCCCCGGGCGGGGGGCCCAGGCCGAGGCGGCGCGGGGGGGCCTCGGCCATGGGCGGCGCCGGGCGGTGGGGGGCCGGAGCCCGGGCACGGTCCGGGGCGGGGGCGCGCTCGGGGCCGCTCAGCGGCGCATGGTTCGGACCCGGGGCCGGCAGGGCGGCCCGGGGTGGGCGCGGGCGGCGGGGGCTAGGGGCCGGGCCGGGGCCGCGCCGGGGCCGGGGGCGGGCGCTCGGAGCCTGGGGGCCGCCGGAGCCCGCACTGACCGCCCGCTTCCCCGGCGACTGGGGCGGCTCTTTCCGACTCCAACTCTCTTATTACGCGCTCCATGCCGCTCGCCTTTCCACCTGCCGCCGGGCGCCGCTCACATGTCACCCTCCCCCGCCCCGCCCGCCCGCCCCGCCGCCCCCGCCCGCCCCGCGGCCGCCTTCCCAAATCGGGAGGGAGCGAGCGAGCCGCGGGCGAGGCGCAGGGAGGGCGGGAGCGCGCGCGAAGGCGGCGGGGCGGGCTGCACGGGCCGGGCGGGCTGCGAGCCGGGCCGTCCGGGGCGAGCGGCCGGGCGGCGCGCGGCGCCGGGAGGCTGGGCGCGTGCGAGCGGCGTGCACGACTGCGTGGGCCAGGGTGGCCCTGAAGGCTCGCCTGGGGGTGGGACGCCCCGCGGGCGGCTGTGCCAAGCGGGGCGGGGCGGGGCGTGCGCGGCGGCGGCCGGCCGTGGATGGGCCACGGCGCGCCTCGTGGAGCCGAGGTGTGGCTGGGTCAAGTGTCCACCTGTGGACGCGGCTCGCGGCCCTGGTGCGGCCGGGTGTGAAGATGGAGGCGCAGGGGCCGGGCTCGCGGAGGCGCGTTGGAGAAGGGAGCGAGGAGTGTGTCCAGCGCCGCGTGTGGCTGTGCGGGCTGCGGGAGTCCCTGCCGCTGCCCCTGGCTCCAGGTGTGCCCTGAGCCGCCGAGCTGCAACCGGGGCGTGGGCGCCGAAGCGCCGCGGGCCTCGGGTATGCACGCTCGTCACGACCTCCCACCTCCACCGAGCCAGGTCCCCCTGCGCACAAGAGGGGAACCCCCCCCCCCCGATCTGGGGCTCGTCCCCGCCGTGGGAAACCCTCTTCTGCCTCACTCCCTGAGCCAGGAACGGGGTTGGAGCACAGGGATTGTGGGCCGGACAGCCCCCTCCCCGAGGCTCACGCCATCCCACCCGGGCCGGGGGAAGGTGAGGCTTCCCCTCTTGGGCGAAGTTCCTGAAGTGCCTGCTGCCCTCGCCGCCCTGCGGCTGGAGGGGCCGCCCTGGCCCTGCAGCCGGCCCAGCCCTGCGCAGGGTGGTCATCTGGGTCTCGCTATCCTCCTTCGCTCTTCGCCTGCGAAAGCTGCAGCCGCGCCAGCCGCTCCCTCCGCAGGCCCTGCCCCGGGGTGAAGCGCTTCCGCAGCAAACTCCCGGTTCCTCCGGGAGGATCTCGGGGGACAGCGAGCGGCGCGGGAGGGGCGGGGAGGGGGCGGGCAGGCGAGCTCGATTCTCAGCTGTCAGCAAAGGCAGCATTGATCTGCTGAGCGCTGCCGGGGCAGGCAGGGAGGGAGCCCAGGCTGTGGGCGGCCTGCAGGGACCCGGGGGGTCCCCAGCTGGGCTCGGCAGTCAGCTCACACCTTCCCCAACAGCAACTCTTTCTCTTCTGCCCAGTGCCGGTACCCCCTGGGCTCTGACCTGAATCTCTCCAGCTGCTCCTGGCTCCAGGTGTGCCCAGGGCCGGCGCCTGGGGCCTCTGGGCAGGTTATGCCCCCATCGTCTCCTGGTAGCTGGGGAAGGTTCTGGACTCCAGGCGCGCGCGCGCGTGCACACACACACACACACACACACGTGCATGCGATGCCCAGGCTGGGCCATCCCATCCTCTCCCTGTGAGCGGAAGCCAGGGCTCCCGAAACAGGTGCACTGTCCTTCCTGGCTATGGAACCGCCTGTCTGGGCGGCCTCAGTCGGAGCCCTGGGACAGGACTGGTGCAAAGGAAAGCAGTGGCAAGGGGCCTGGGGTGTTTGAGAAGCACTTCCAGGGTGGGAAGGGAGGAGCGTGAATTCCAGCTGCCGTCTCACTGCCCAGAACCCTGAGACTGGGGCTCGGCATCACTCTGGAGCCTGGGCCTGCCTTCTCGCTGGGCAGCTCAGAGCCCCCAGGCCTTCCTTTATGGGTGCAGGATTTCATCATCTTTCCCAACCCCAGCTCCACGGGACCCCCTGAAGCTGCAGCAGGAAGAAAGAGACCAGGGAGCAGGATGGCGGTTAGACCTCAGGAAGGACTTCCACAGGGCACAGAGAGCTGTTTCGCCTGCAGGTGTAGGTGTCACAGAGGGACATGTCCACTGCTGCTGGGACGGGAGACACAGAAGTCCTCCTAAGAGCAGGAGGGATCTGAGAGAGAATTCCAGGAGACCGTAGGAAACTTCAGCTGTGTGTGTGTGTGTACATGGGAGAGTGGAGGAGCCGAAAGAGAAAGTCCAGAGAAGACAGGTGGCCAGTCCTAGGGTCACCCGGCAGCCTTCCTGCCCCCACCCGGATTCCCAGGCCATGATGGAGGATGGACTTCCCCAACCACCGCCTCTAATGACTAAGACACTTTTCTGAGCAAGCAGCTGTCTCAGGCTCCCTCGATGGGTCCCTCTGCTGGAGAGGGGCTCTGTGTAGCTGTGGCTTCCCACCCTCCGTCCTGCCGCCCTCTCCCCCACCTGTTCCCTCCACCTCACCCTCCACAGTTTGCCTCCCACCCCAGGGCCCATCTCCCTCCCTGCCAAAGCCTCAGGGCTCTGCCCGGACCCACCCGTGTCCCACCTGCCCGAGGGCCTGGCCTTGTGCTGAGCTTCGGCTCCACCATCTGCACAGGGGGCAGGGCTCCAGGGCCTTCTGTAATTCATCACTGTCCCAGCGTCCATCAATGGAGCTGTATTGATTGGGGGGGGGGGGGAGTGCTCCTATTTGCTAAGCGCCAACTATGTGCCAGGCCCTGTCCCTGTGGGCCGAAGAGCCGCCCTCCGCATGTGAAGAAGTTGAGGCTAAAGCCGCACTCACAGCCAGCTGGTGACCCTCCCCCAAACTGTCTCTGACCTGAGCTCTCCCCCTGGCTGGCACCTGCCTGGTTCCCGGGTGCTGGAATCAGGGCCGGGGCTGAAAGAACTGAGGTTTACGAGTGGCTGGGACTCCGACCATGGGGCAGGGCTCAAGCCTGCCACTGACTGCCACCGTGACCTCTGGCCAGCCAAAGGCTCAAATTGCCATCCTGGAGGGGGAGGGGTGGTTGAAATCAGTGGCTCCCCAACTGAGAATCCTTTTTCCAGACAGACCACTAAGGTAACGCCCCACGTGTAAGAGGATTTTGCACACAGGTGATCTGGTTGAGGTGAGGGGACCTGGGTTCCACCCACCTGCCCCCCTCTCTGTACTCCAGAAGCCTCCTGAGGGTCCTTGTACCCCCAGAGGTTGCTGGAGGTCAGAACAGGGAACAGTGCACACGCACAATGCGGCGCCGGACTGGGGAGGACTTGGAGGGGCACACAGACGTGTGGCCGATAATGCCTGCGGCTGCCGTGCTCAGCCTCATGCAGGATGCTTTACCTGCACTGCTTCAGCATCCCAACAGCCCTGTGAGATGCTCCTGCTCACACCCCCCTGGAGAGTCAACAGCACCGAGGCTCAGCGAAGGTAGCTCTTGGCTGTGGAACCGCCAGGTAGCGAAGGTGCAGGGGAGGACAGAGCAAGAGGAGGCCTTGAGGGGGCAGCCCCGAGGCGTAGCGGGTGAAGCCACCGCCCACAGCACCGGCATCCATATGGGCACTGCTTCCAGTCCTGATCGCTCCACTTTCAATCCAGCTCCCTGGGAGGAGCAGCAGAAGACGGCCAAAGTCCTTGGGCCCCTGATCCCATGTGGGAGACCCAGAGGAAGCTCCTGGCTTCTGGCTTCTGCCTGGCCCAGCCCCAGCTGTTGCAGCCATTTGGGGAGTGAACCAGCGGATGGAAGATCTCTTTCTTTCTCTGTAACTGTGCCTTTCAAATAAATAAAATAAATCTTAAAAGGAAAAAAATAAAAAAGAGGCCTTGAATGCCAAGTGGAAGGACTCAGTTTGGTTTGATGGGAAACAGGGATCCTGGCCAGGGCCCAAAAGCAGAAAGCCCAGGAGGGGTGGGGCAGGAAGGCCCAGACCCAGGGCGGTTGGCAGTGGCTGAGGCAGAAGGCGCCCTGAGCTACAAGTCACAGCTGGGCTTCCAGTCCTGGACTCGCTGGTGACCTTGGGCAATCTGCTCGCCACCTGTGGCTATTGTCAGGGATGCAATCATGCATGAGAAAGTCACAGGTCATCCAGGGAGCTGTGCAAACATGAACCATTCATCTTCAGGTGCGTGTTCAGGGTGGACGGGGAGAGGCTGGGAGAATTCCCTGGTCCTCTCTGCTCTCATCAACGCAAGAAGGCTTCCGGCTTCCGGCAGAGGGGGAGCACAGTGCAGGGGGCGCTCACGGGGTGATGGCATGGACAGTCCCCCTCTGCCCTTCCTCCTTTCCCTTTGCTCCCCCAGGAAGGACAAAGCATTTAAGCCGCCCAGCAGATGAGAGGTGGCCCAGGGCGTTTCTCGTCCCAGGATCTGACCTGCCCCCAGCCTGGACAGAGCTGCAGGAAGTGGGGAGAGAGCAGTGCTGCTGAACTCAGCGAAAGCGGACCCCCATTGATCATGAGGGCTGGAGGGGGCCCACAGGGAGGAGACACAGAGGCAGAGGGGGCACAGACATGAAGGTCAAAGCCATCCCTTCTTGCGGGGTCGCTTCTCCCCTGCCTTCAGGATTGCCCCTCCTTGACCCCACTCCTTGGAGATCGTGCAGAGCCGCCGACAGTACTGTGGCCCCGCTGGAAGGTGCCATGTTCCCAGAGAGAGCCACTGGAGCTGGCTGGGAAATGAGGAGGAGGGACTTTGCTGAGCTGCTGAGTGTGCAATGGAAAAGAACCTCCGTGCTCCCGTGGTGGGAGTGGCTTGAGGGGCGCTAGGGAAGGAGCTGCTGTGTGTCTGGAGGGACTGGAGGGGCTTGGAAAAGGGAGATGGGGATTTAGGGAGAACTGGGCTCAGAAGAGAGGGAGGGGGGCTTCAGAGAGCGAGAATTCCACATCAAACTGGACCTCAGCTGTCTCCAGCTGAGACTTCCTTGTCTTGGATTCCAAACTTGATCAAACACCTATTGAAGTCCCTCCTCCTTGAAATATTGGAAATGTCAGATAATGCTGAGTTGTTTATTTATTTGACAGGCAGAGAGATAGAGAGCGTGCACCCAACTGCTGGTTCATTCTCCAAATGTCCATGATGGCCAGGACTGAGCTGAGGCTGAAGCCCGGGCCAGAAACCCAGTCCAGGTCTCTCACATGGATGGCAAGGACCCAATCACTTGAACCATCACCAC